TTTCATTTTATTTGATTATTCTAATATAGGAAGAATAAAGAAGAGATAATAGAGTTTGTTGTGGTTCATTGTGACCTGGGGTTTATGGATTTCCCAGAATGTTATCCTTTTCAAAGGTGATTATCTGGTCATTAATAATGTTTTGTCTCTTGTTAAATCACTGTTGTGGGACATGTTTGAGGTTAGTTGTTCAAGTAATGTTGAGATTACTTTTGAGGATTGATGTTTAAATCATATTCTTTGTATTCAGCGGGTTCGAGAGGGATAACACTCCGTTGTATTTTATTCTCTTCTTCTTTTGGGAATTTTTTCCCCACTTTTATACCTTCTCACAAACCCTTGATGAAAATCCAAAAATGTCCTTAGAGTTCGGAAATGCATCTCTGGACGCACCTATTTCCCACAAAATTGAACGCAGACGAGCTAGCCACCCTTATTATACTTAAGTTTAGCTTTGAGTTGCATCTCCGAATGCGTATTTGGTATATTTCGCATATGCATATCTGAAAATGACATTGATACTTCAAGATAGAAACATAGGAAGTATGAGCAAGATCTAGAAACCACAAAAAAATTGACATTAAATTAAAACAGTCATCATTACATAGATAGTCGTCAACATAAGTTTAACAATACATATCATTATAAACGGGTAGTTGAGGATGTTGCAACATATTGATAATATCTTCGACGAATATTAAATTATTCACATCCATTTCAACCGGATCCTCTGATGCATAACGGTGAAAAGTATCCCACATAACCTTTAAATCTTCATCTGTCTTCAGTTTAAGTTTGTGATCTATACCTTTCTTTTGCTGTCAAACGAGGGCGAACGATACTCGAGCTTGACAATTCTTTGATTTTTTGGATATGGCAGGAGAGTATTCAGCTTGGATGTCATATCAGCGTGAGGTGTGTCCTCGATGATCCTAAATTAAAGTGGTGACTTCCCACCATTGATATACACAAATGCAATGTGGAAGTATGCATTCATTCTCTGATTGTGGTGTGTTTTGTAGAAAATATAGGACAAGAGACACCATATTTATACAAGTTTTTGGATATAAATCTTGTCAGATCGATACACACTCTGTTAGATGCACTTACTATAAGATGGCTCATGTCAAGGAAACGCGTTCGTTTTAATTGTGGTATGGGACCGCTAACACAAGGAATAAGAGCATTGTTAATTGCACCAAAATGTTCTTTTTTCTTGCATATGGATGTATATAATTCCCTATTCGCCATCAACTCTTTCAAAAGTTTTTTGGCGTACAAGAAAATGATTTTCCTCCCCTCTATTGAGCAAGTCGGATACGACCCGATAACCGCACTTACCATCACCCTTAATATTTATAATCTGCTTAATGTGTTTGTGCATAAAAGCAACATTCCTTCAATGTAGATTATTTTCGACACCGACGGTGAAAGATGTGGTTTGCTAATGCAGAACACCCTTGTAAACATTTTTTTTGAGATCTCAGAGTTGATGAATCTAGAAAATATGAATCAACTAGTTCAATGTATGAAGGAGACTGCTTCGTTGAATTGTCATCTTGTGTCGGTTTGATATTTTTAAGGGCACATTTGGTTTTAACCGGTTCTAAAGAAGGTTTCAATTCTGTGATTTCTGGATATGCAATCTTCCTCAACTACTCTTTGATGTGCAATTCCATGGTGTCATCTGCTTTAGAAAATCTATCTTGGATTATTTCCCACTCAATCATGATGGTTATAGATGCTTTACTATCCTTAATCATACCATCGTCATCAAACTAAAGCCTTTTGGATTATGGAGGTGGTATGGAGTGTGAGAGATATGATCATGCAAGGTGGTGATATATTCAATTTTCTGTTTGACATTTTCGGAGATGCATCTCCGAAAATCTCACTGAATGGTTAAATATAACAGCTAAATGTAAAACGCCTAGTAAATGGGTTTAGGAATGTTTTCAGATATGCATCTCCGAATTCACCCTAAAAATTTATAGAGATGCAACTCTAGATCAATTTTTGGCAAAAATGGGATGACTATTTAACTTGCGAAGGATGTAGTATTTAAAGTGCATCTGAAGACGCACCTAAGAGTAATTTGAATTTTTAACTGTGTGAGTCACACCTTAAAGATGCAAAAGAAATCCCCTCTTCTATTTTGTATTACCTCTAGTATTCTTTTCAATATAATTCTCTTGTTTATATATAAAAAATTAACTTGATCTTCTTAAAGAGGTTTAATGAAGTGCTTATTCTTGGTAATTGTTTGTTAAAATTACAAACATTTATGTGTGTGTTTATTTTTAGTAATGTTATTAAAAACAAACATTAACTAAATTGACTAGTAAACAGTGAATTAGAAAAACTAACTAAAAACATTATATATGAGTAGATTAAAAAACCATTTATGTGTGTAATTTAATAACTTTATTAATTAAATTAACTAATGAACCGTAGATTAAAAAAACTATTAAAAGAAATTATATATGGTGATTGTAATGTTTGATAACTAAATGCATGTAAAAACTATAATACGCCAAAATAATAAGGAATATATATTAACATTACGAGAAGCGTACAACTAACAGACTGCATAGCGCAGTCGATTAGCGCTTTGTGGTCAATTCATTTTGCTTCTTTTTCTTATAATAATACATAGCAACATTAATTAATTAACTAATTAATTTTCACTCCAGAATTTAATTACTTGTGTGTTCTATATTAATCTTTTATTTTAAAAATCAATTAATTATGTTTTCTTATGTTGATGTTTATTAAATTTAGATATCTAACATTTGGAAAATATGAATTTGATCAGTTTTTCATAATCATATTTGAATATGAATATAGGTAACTTTCATATCCGATTAAATTGCGCATTTGTAATATAGATATTAAAGTATATGATTAATTATAAACTTGCTTACAATGGATTTAAAAATTTTAAGCGAAATTAAGAATAAATGACATTAGAGTGTAAAATTTTATGACAAAAGAGGCATATTTTGAAAAACAAGAGCAAGAATGAAACAATAAATCATTACATATTCGTCATAATAGTTTGTAAGACATAGTTACTTTATTTGTAATGGTCATGAATTTTTTAAGCACTGAGAGAGATTAGTTCTCCTATATTAAGTCGTCCGTAAATAAATCTTTATTCAATAATATAAAATATGTAACTCACATAAATGTCATACGATAAGTTAACTTTTATATTTATTTAATTTTATTTATTACCTAATTATTTTTCGTTTACAGAATTAAGAGAATCTACAGCTAACAATAGATTTGTATATTAAAACTAAATAAAATTATTTTTATAATTATTCAATTTTATTTATTACCTAATTATTTTTCATCTACAGAATTAAGAGAATCTATGGCTAACAATAAATTTGTATATTAAAACTAAATAAATTTAGAAGGATGTTTATTATTTCTAGAGATAGGGATTTCTAAACATAGATATAAGCACTCATGACATAAATATTTTATACACTAAAACTTCATTGGTTAATCTTCGTTCAAGACATTGAAAAATTGTAATCAAGCAAAACATGTTATGCGACAAAAAAAATCGTGTGTAATTGTTTTATAAAATAGTTATGGTATAACAAGATTCATTATAGGTTCAAATCGAGATTGACCATATGAAAGGGCAAATTTTTAAAGAATGAGAAAACTTAATATCGTTATTTTTTTTTAATTAATTATCTAATTTTCCAATTATTTTCTCCCGTTTCTATCCATTATAATTACATTTTTAGTCAACATTTTGAACTTTTCAAAAAAAAATGCACTTTTATTCGAATAACATATTTGATATTTTAAACTTGGAGCCTACGTAAACAGAAATTTGAAACAAAGTTAAGTAATTGATGGTAACCAACAAAAGAAAAACTAGTGCATAAATTCTAGTCCAAGACATATTAAAGCATAAAGGATATTTTTAACTATATATTTCTATAGGATATGTATAACATCTTAGTAGTTACGATCATTTATAATGAAGATTTAAACATATAAAATCTTATTGAATTTAAACATATAAAATCTTATTGAATTATCATTTTTCACTACGTGAACGGATAAAAGGATGATATACTTTCGTATATGTTTTTGCTATATTATAAGTTAATATCTTTATAATTATTATGTGAGAATAATAAAATTCACCCTAAATAAGTGGATTAAAATGGAATGTGCAAGCAATTGTAAATAAACCATGCTTACTAGCTAATTTATCTCCAATCTTATCAAATAGTATTTTTTACAAAAAATTATGGTGACCATGCTATTGCAAATCTATAATGACTTGTCAGCGAAATGATTTTTCTCATGTTCACTTGCCTGAGTCCGGTAAGATCTCAAGTTATTCTTAATAGGTCTAAACATTTAAACTTAGATCAAAATGAAATCATGATTTCTCAAAAAAGAATCAAGTTACTTATTCTTGGATTCTTAGCAAGACTAGGTAGAAAATATCATAGGGTTTAGCAATAATTGAGCTTAAAATTTTTAATAGGAAGCCCCCTAAAAAAACCAATTCTCACCCCATATATGAAAAATATCACATGCCACCGAACAAAAGGTTTTTTGGACAGCAGAAAAAATTTAAATGCCACGGAAAACACAATGGAAAACAACAATTATAATTCAATACTATAGAAATCGTACACATATATTCTATAAACCTAAGCGTAAATTTGGCATCTTCCCACCAAACATATAGTAAAGCAGGCCACACAATCATTTTCTCTTCAAAACCCTTCTGCAAAAAATCCGGATTTCAAAGGCAAAATAAATGAATTGAAGCTTACGTAAATAACCGTCTTAACAGATAGGGCTCCACATCAAACACTGCAGCAGCCGCTAACTGTCAACCCACCAAAGCCTTTTTCCAGCCTAAATTCTGGCAATTCATAATCATATAAGCTCATACAAAATATCGTGGACACTATTTGTCTCAACACAAACTGAGACTAAATCAAGAACAAAAATTATGCAGAACTGGCATTCTCTGGCTTATCGGTCTCCATTGGTTCAGTAGATGCGGATGAGGCCTGACTGCCATCCCCAGCATTCTCATTAGTGCTGTTGGCATTAGCATCTGCTTGGGGTTGCTGCTGCTCAGAGCCCGAAGAAGCTGGGCTTGGTGGTGCAGGAGGAGTAGCAGGCTTGGCTGGCTTTGGTTTCATCATAATCGGCTTGCAGAACCTGTTCAACATATAAACAGAAAAATTATTAATGATAAGAATGCAAGAGATTTTTCAACTTATATAGTTTTGATTAAAAAAAGACATCCATTAACAATTAACAGAAAAAAATTAATAATTAATAATGATAATACAAGTTTTTCAGAAGTTCACAAATTACAAGAGAAAAATTAATTATATAAATACCCCATCAACAGAAAGAGTTAACTTTAAACAAATACCTATCAACAGCCTCAGCTTTCTTTCTTATTTCAGCTGACAAGAGTACAGGGTTGGCATGTTTTGGAAGTGAATCCTGCTGCTGTTTCTTCTCCCTAAGCCAATTCTCAGCTTCAACGCATTCAGTTAAAACCTATGAACACATTAAAATAAATTCACATGACTTCATAATAATTACAACTATTTTATAGAGAAAGGAAAAATATTGCTTAGCAATTACCTTCTGTTTCTCATTGATGTCAATATGATCAAATTTGGGATCAGGTGACATTGCAGCTTCTCTGTAACTAGTTATACAATAGATTAACTGATCAACTATTGTACCCCTCTCCGTGTGTTCTTTGTAACGCTCTTCAATCGGGTCACCTTGCTGTAATTACATAAATAATTCTCAATTAAGGTTATCAATCGTTAACAGCCTTGAAAATGTCTCCAGCCACCAAGAGTAAAAGCAAGAGGGATTTTCTGATGCCTTTTTCTCTCTAAAATTTTCCAAAGGGCAGGCGCAATGACTGTCTTATAAGCAAAATTTCTTACCTTTTTGAGCTCTTCAAGTTTTGCAACATATACACCTTTAGTTTCATCTTCACCGTCCTCATATAGCCAATCTTCTACCTCCTGAAGTTTTGAGGTAAAACCTTCCCTCTCTGAAGCAATGACAAAGTCTTGGTATTTGTCATTAAGCTAAAATCGTAGCAGCAAAAAAAAAACATCAGTTTAAGCAATTTTAGCATTAGTATTTGATGTTAGACTTTCTGCAAGAGAAGAAGAAAAGGGTAACACCAACCTTGTTTCTCATGTCATAAACATATGCCTCTACTGCATTTTTCCTGTCCTTTGTTTCTTCCATTACACGATCTTGCAAAGCCATTTCATACTCCTTCTCTACAGCTTTCTGGACTTCGACTGGTGTCATTGCTCCATAAACTAACTCTGCCACCGGAACACTTGTTTTTTTAACCTTTTTCTTTGGAGCCTGAATCAACAACATAGTTTACTTTTTGATGAGTACTTAAAAATTGATATTGGACTATGGTAAACTGTGCCACTATCATCTTATCAACAACTGACTGAGTACATCCCATGTAGATTTGCATTTTAATCCAAAACAGAAAAATGAGGAAATCATTTTCAAGTTAAAACAATAACAGTATGATGCAAACATGCCGAAATACCACAGCAAACCTCCACAATAAGGGTCATACTTAAGAAACTACTCTTCAAATTGCCTTCTCGGTTAGTTAAAGCAGTATAAACTGTGGCACTATCATATTCTAAAAATAGTAAACAGATCCCTTTTCATGTGAATTTTAATAAAATAAGACCGATTTTACATTGTCAAAAGCTCTAATGCAAACAGAGAGGGGCGTCAAAACCATGACAAGCAAAAATATTACAGTAAGACATCCAACGATTGCATAAAAAAGAAATTTTGATATTGAAAATACATCCCTTTCTATAGTACTCACCTTGGTATCATCAACATCCATTTGTGCAGGCTTATTTCCAGTCTCAGGGATGCCATTTTCAACCCCAGGGGTATCAGCACTAGGCTTTGCATCTTGCATATTAACATCAGCATCATTGTCATTGGAGGTGGGAGGTGCAGCAGCATCAGTATCCACCTTAGTAGTTTCTTTTGCCGATTCTTTGGAATCTGAAACCTCAACTTCTTCCTCTTCCAGGAGCTAAACAAATCGAGCAAAAGTTGTTATTTACAGGCAAATATGATCACTCACTTAAAATCATAAGTGCAGAAGTGGTTATGGTAGGCGAGAAAATTAAACAGTCACAATAGACTTACTGTTGCCAAGTCAACAGATGCAATTCCATGAAGATTCAATCGAACTTTCACTTTAACTTTTGCCTTCTCGCTATGTTTAGCTTCAAAAGGACCAATCTGGCCCCACACAATTAAAAGAGTAAAACGACTTCAAAGAAGGAAAAACTACTTTATAAATAAATAGGAAACTTGTAAACTGGCTTACGGTATATGTGCTGATCCTAGAAGGTGTTTGCAGCCCACTTGCATCACTATATTGTGCATCAATAGAAAATGTTCCCGACCTGTAGAATGTCAGTGCCTTGATACTTGGTATGGGATTTCCCTTGGGAAAAACAAGGGAACTCTGCTGATTATTGGTTCCACTATCATGTGCATCTGGACCAGACCCTTTCCACGATAGTGAGATTGAGAAAGGGAAGCTCTCATTGACCTTCACATCAAAAAATAAAATAGTAACATCATACCGAATCATGCAAAACCTTATATATGTGAACAAGTTACAGCAAGGACATAAACACACACACACACACACACACACACACACACACACACACACACACACAAAAGAAACTCACATGTAAATTTATTAAGGCCTAAACAGAAGTATGTACCAGAGATAAGTAATCCATATAGCATAGAAAATGCTAAAATTTATTGTTTGTTCCTAAAGGCGCAAACAGTTTTATAACGACTAGCAATAGTAACAGAAGACAATAACCATGCAATCTCACAAACCAAACACGGAAGAAACTATACCTGAAATTCTCGCACTTTAAAAGTTGGACTAAGAATAGCACATTGCAATGCAGCCCCTTTGGCAACGCATTCACTGGCGTTCATTGTCCTCCTGGGCTCCTTCTTGAAAAACTCAGTCAAGATTTTGTTTATAGCTGGTACACGAGAACCTGAACCAACGACCTCAACCATATGTATATTATCAACTGAGAGTCCTGCTTCAGCAAGTGCCTTCTCCAAAGGTCCCTTGACACGCTCCAAAATTGGTAGACTCAATTCCTCAAAATCTTCGCGCTTCATGATACCCTTAACATCCTTCTCATCCATCAAGCACTCAATGTTTAGAGGCACAATCGGATTTGCACTAAGCATCTTCTTCATCTTCTCACAAGAAGCCCTAAGCCTCAAACAGGCTCTCGCATTCTGAAGCACATCAATTTTGTACTCCTCCTTAAACTTCGCAGCAAAATGATTAAACAAAACCTCATCAAAATCCCTACCACCAAGTGACCTGTCAAAAGTATGAGCCAACACTTTCAGCTGCCCCTTTTTGTACCCAGCAATGCACACCTGCATACTAGCATGTCCAATGTCCACAAAAGCCACATTCAGCTGATCATTTTCCGGCAAATCTGTTTTATAAATCCCATACGCCAATGCAGTAGCAGTAGTTTCATGAAGCAACCGAAGCGGGTTCAAACCAGCAATAGTTGCAGCATCCAAAACAGCCCTTCTCTGAACATCAGTGAAATAAACCGGAATCCCAATGCAACAATCATTAACAGCCGCATTAAGATTCTTCTCAGCAATCTCCTTCATATTTGACAACATCATAGCAAACACTTGTGTAGGTGTAAACGTCTTAACTTCCCCCAAGTACCTCGCCTGAATCAAAGGATATCCATCCGGTCCTTCAGTAACACTATAAGGCAAAGACTTAAGATCACGCTGCAAATCAGGATCCGAAAACTGCTTCCCAATAAGCCTCTTAATCTGCGAGATTGAATTCTTAGGGTTCATCATAGTAGAAGCAGCACCCGCAATACCAATAAACCGTTGCTTTTCACCAAAACACACAATAGCAGGGGTTTCGCGTTGTGATTCATCGTTTAACACAACATCAATCCCTCTCTGTCTAGCAACAGCAACAATGCAACTCTCGTTACCAAAATCAAATCCCACCACACTCATCTTCCTAAATCAAATTTCACTTCACCAAAAAAATAATCTGAAAATTTAAAATTAAATTAAAAACTCAGTTATCAACACTCACAACATCAATAATAGTAATAATTAATTAAATGCCATACATGAACCATTAAATCAAATCAAATTAAACCAACTCAAATCAAATATAAAACAATAAATTAGTACAAATAAATGAGACAACAATAACTATAATAATAACACTGAGATTTAAAATCGATAATCAAAACCGAATCTAAGAGAACGAAGAACAGATCTGAATTAGGGTTTTACCTTTCGTATGCGATGCGAGAAAGAGAGAAAAAGGGTTTAGGTTATTTGTGTGGTTACGTTCTGATTCTAGAAGAATCTGAACAATATAACTCACACAAGTTGAAAAGAGAAATAGTTTTGGAATTTAGGTTTTACGTAAATTTCTCTGATAATTTTATTTCTGTAATTGTTAATTAAATAGCGGAAAAGAGAATATTGTTAGAGTGGATCCCACTCTTTCTATTGTTGAAGTTGCCACCTCAACTTAGTTCTATGCTTCTAGAACCATCTTTTCCTTTTCCGTGGTGGTGTTTTTATTTTCTTTTAATTAAATAAAAATATAATCTTTCTAGGCTTATTATGTTTTTTTTTGTTGGGTTGGATTGTTGTTGGTTTGGCATGTTATTTCAATTTTGGGCTTTGTCTATGTGTATGTTTTTTTAGACAAATGGTTTTTAAATATAAAAGTGTAAATAATATATTTAAGTGATAAAATTACTCTCGTCTTCACCTTCGAGATGGATTTGATATTGGTTAGCCGAAAATTGAGAAAATATTTTTATTTTAAATCTAAGTTATCTTATTCAATTATTTAGAAAGGTCAAATAATAAGCATTGCACGAAATGACTTAGGAATAAGTGACACATAAGTGAGACAGTTTTTCATCATCAAATTTTATCGAAAGATTCCTCACACAAAACTTTAAAAGAGAGTTTTAACCATTCACTTTATGTAAAGCCTAACACAAATCATTTTAGGTATTTTCACTTTCACTCCATCAAAATTATTTTCTTACTCATTCACTAATATAATATGAGTGTTAAAGTATTAATCTTGCAAGTTTATCTATGTTTCACCGCAATGGAAGCTCATTCCACAATACTAGAGCGTTGTTTCATTTAATATCTACCTATTCCTGATTTCAGTTCGAAACGGTAGCATTATTTATGAGAATCGGCTTCTAATTATCGCGAATTTTCACGAAGATCCGCCATATTTCACACAAATTACCGTCACAAACCTTTCCTCCTTCAAATCACCTATATTTTCTCTATGTAGAAAATTTTGTGTTATTGGTCGATTTTACCAAAATTTATCTTGTATTAATCGACAGAAAACATTGTTTTACTCAAAACAGGTGAGACGCGGGTGTTTCCATCACATTGAATGGATTTACAAATCAACATTCACGGAAAAACGTCACTTATCTCAGATTAAAGATTATGGATGAAGCATTGTTTTGCATCATCTTAAGACAAAACATCTTTCGTTTATGAAAAGGTTTTTGAGATCACATGACGATGAGAAAAAAAGAATTTGATTGGTTGAATGTATTTTATAGATGAATGAGACATAAGCCTCAAGATATTCATTCGGGGTTTCACCGGAATGCTAGATTCCAACAGTCATTTGTCATTCAGGATTAAGAAAATTGTTTAATTGACAACGAACGCTCTATAAGAACAAGACATGTATCTTGAAATCAATTATCCAAAGAGATACGTCAGAATGTTAGATTCTAACGACCCTTATTTTGTCCAAGTTAATTAAGTGTTTTAAGTTAATTAAGTGTTTTAAGAACGAATGAACGGTTTCCATCGGAATGCTAGATTCCAACGGTTCTCTTCTTTTATGTTTATTTTAAAAAAATTGATAATACATATGATTTAGAAAAATAATTGAAATTGATCAAAATTTGATTGTAGAAATGATTTGAAAATTGTTTGAAATTGAATGAGATAGGTTAGCAATTTATCAAATAACCCACTCAATAATTAAAAGTAATTTTAATTAAAATCTAATAAAAGTAAAAGGTTAAGCAATTATTAACTATTAATCTAAATTAATTAATTAATCATGAAAATAAAAAATAAAAAAACATTAAAAAAAAGGTGACAAAAGAAATGAGTATGGGGTGTATGAACAAATAAAATCTAAAGCCTAATCCATTTTTACAAGACTCATTTTAAGCTTAACTCACAGACAACAATTAAAACTAAATATAACAAATAAATAATAATAATAATAATAATAATAATAATAATAATAATAATAATAATAATAATAATAATAATAATAATAATAAAATATAAAAAATAGATAAATAGAAATAATAATAATAATATATAGATAAAAAAAGTTAAATAGGAGAGAGGGACCCTATGCTTGAAAGAGAGAGACATTATAATCCTATTAGCGTTCAAACGGGCACTCTCGTGCCCGTTTGCCCCTTTTTTTCAATGTGCACACGCGTGAAAATACGAACGGATATTTTTTATTTAGTTTAAATAATTTGTATAGTAAACTTTGTAATGTGCATTTCTCTCTCCCCTCCCCTTTCTCTCTTATAAATTTGATGAAAGTGTTTAGAGAGGAGTTGTAGAGTAAACTGAACACGTACATCCCCTGCAAACATGTATACATGTTAATTCATTAACGTATTTTTTATTTAATTTTGGTTTTAATTTAAATTATTTATCATATATATTTTTGCTTGTTAATTTAATTTTTTATTAAATATATGGTCAATGAAATACTTTCAAAGATTGTTGCAACAAAACTCTTTCATTTATTGAAGCAATAGTTTAAGAAATGCTTTAACATTTGATTCTCATTTCTCTTCATAATCTTGGAGGTGTGTGTAATCTTTAACATTTATTGTTGATTTTCTCTTATATTATTAGTATTGTATTGAATACAAATGAACCAATTCATAAATAAACAATTTATATATTTCTTATCTTTAAGACCAAACGGTTTAAAAAGAAAGACACTTAAAAATAATGTTTCATTGTGTTTAATAATATTCTCTAACCAAATCAATATAATTTGATATTTAGTTGCAACAACCAAATGTAAAGTCAACAGAATAGATTCTAAAATAAAGACAAATCATCTCTTAAAGAAATAATCATAACACTGTAAAGAAAAAAAAAATTCTCTATTTATCTTTGACAAACCATAAATAGTAGAGTATGATGATGTATTTTTTTTTTCATGTTGTCACTGAATGAATGAATTTTCATTTTCTATTCATTTATAAGTGTGTTTTGCACTTCCATCATTTTTTGTAAGAGATGCATAACTATCAAAATTGTTTTTTTTTTATTAAAAAAAATCAACTTTGATAGTTATGCATGTCTTATAAAAAAAACCATATCATTTTGTTAGCATTTTATTTTTAAAAATTAAATAAATTGTGTACAACTTAAAGGATAAAATGAGAATGAAATAGGTATGTCCAAAATCATCTATCTTCTTTATCTTTATCTATAGTTATAGAATATATTAAGTAGAGTTTAGAGAAACCATAATAAATATTATAAAAATAAATAAATTTTTTATAAGAATAAAAAAAAAATCATAAATTAAAGATAGGGAGAGAAATACAAAAAAAAATCCACAAATAAATTAAGCTCTCATAAAGTGAATTAAACAAAATTTTGAGAGATTAAAAGAAAGTGTCATGTTCTGGTTAGACAAAAAAAAACATATAAATGAATCTTCAAAAACTAAGTAAAATAGACAACATATAAAGAGTAAAAATATAATAAACAAAATTTAAGAAATGTGAATAAATTAGAATATCTGTACAATTCCATGGAAGTATCTTCACCGCACTTATTTCAATAGTCGCATAGAAAATAATATTTGTATAAAAAAGATCGTTTGAAATCCCTTCAAGTTTTGCCGCATATATGTAGCATTCTGCCTCTTTTGAAGTTAATAATTTCTTCAATTTGCTTAAAAAACATAACATAAATATTAAAAATAAAATATAAAAAAAAAAGGGAGAGATGAATATTTTCTTTGGTTTTAAACGAAGAATTTAAGAGAGGAAAGAAAAGAGATAATCAATCAACATTGTAAAACCAAATACATAAGACATTTTTTAGTATTACGTATCTTCTTCAGTGGAGTGTTCACAGGTATTAATAAATTTATTAGAATTGTGATATAATAAATAGAATTTAAGAAATGTGAATAAATTATAATATCTGTACAATTCCATGGAAGTATCTTCACCGCACTTATTTCAATAGTCGCATAGAAAATATATATTTGTATAAAAAAGATTGTTTGAAATCCCTTCAAGTTTTGCCGCATATATGTAGCATTTTGCCTCTTTTGAAGTTAATAATTTCTTCAATTTGCTTAAAAAACATAAGATAAATATTAAAAAAAATAAAAAAATAAAAATGGGAGAGATGAATTTTTTCTTTGGTTTTAAACGGAGAATTTAAGAGAGGAAAGAAGAGAGATAATCAATCAACATTGTAAAACCAAATACATAAGACATTTTTTAGTATTACGTATCTTCTTTAGTGGAGTGTTCACAAGTATTAATAAATTTATTAGAATTGTGATATAATAAATAGAATTTAGACTTAATTGCAACTATGGTCCCCATATTTTGTATTTTGTTGGGTTTTGGTCCCTCCATTTTAAAAACCACGATTTTGGTCCTTTTTTTAAGTTTTGAGTTTGATTTTAGTCCCCTCTCCAATTTTAAAATTTTTTGTAATGATGTGGCACTATCTAAGATGACGTGTCAATGTCAGGTCATTTTTAAAAAAATAATTTAAGACTTTTTTTATTGACTGGATAATTAACTTATTAATATTATTTTAATTAATTAATTAATTATTAACATTTTATTATTAATTTTTATAATTAATTAATTAATCAAAATTTTAAATGAAACTCTTTGGTTTTTTAGTTATTGGTCCAT